GAGGAGAGGGGGAAGCAGCAGGTGGCAACATGGGACAACTTATCCTAGTTATGATCAGAGTCGGAGTCCATAAAGCTGAGTGGTAAATGTGAGCTGAAGCAGTATTTATGGAATATTTTCGAAAGCTCAAAGGACAATATATTGAACACTGGTATCTGTGGATCCGTTTGAGAAAATCTGTGTGTGTGTTTTTCTCATGTTTGGAGAAGCTTCATACTTACCTTGGACTTGCAGGAATTGCTACGTAAGAGGATGCTAATGCTGTTGCTTCATATGAGTTTTTAAAAATATCAAGACTAAACGTAGCAGTTGTGTATTAGCCTTTCTAATCCAAGATTTAGATTCAAATCTTTCATGATCCTGCTAGAAACATGGAGACAATCATTACATTTTAAACACTGAGTTGAATGACTTGGTGAGTTCCAACACCTAAAAAACTCAAAGGAGGTTGTGAAAGATTAGAAAAAGCTTAAGTAGTTGAGTTTAAAATACTTCAGCTGCTTTTCATGCTTTTGCAGGGTCATCTATATACAAATGAGTTAAAGGGCAGTCACACAGGAAGTTTGAGTAAGACTGATGTAATTAAACTGTGAGTGTCAGTCTGTGCCTTGTCTGACAATGCTATAATCTATTTGTAAATTAAATTTCAGAATTTGGATACTAGAATGATAGAGATGAGCATTCTCTTGTTTTGAGGGGTTAGCAACCATGCTGTAGATGAGGACTGAGGTGGTGATGATCCAGCCATAGTAATTTTATATTACATATTCACAAAGAATAGCCTTGTATTATGAAGCGGCTGTCCTTCATAACACTTGTGCTGTAGTGTTAGTAAGCTCTGAGATGCCGAGTAAATTTCTTGTAAGGCAGATGGAAACCAGTTATCATTGTCATTTGCTGTTCGATGGCATCAGATGTTTATCACAAATCAGTCAAGTGATACCTATTTGACAGGAATCTCTAATTTAGCAACTCAGAACTCATGCTGTCATTGAGATTTACGGTGAAACTTAATACAGGTCATACAATTTCTTAATAATGATAGATTTGAAGCAGAACTAAGATCTTCTAGTTTCATTTTTTTATACTGGATGGGGAGCATACAGGCTGAGGATGGCAGAATAGGCATGGCTAGTAGCCAGCTTGCTGAGAGATCTTGCCTATGCAACAGTGCAGCAACCTTCATAATAGAGGTGGCAAAGCAGCTTGGCAAAACAATAGTGTGTGGGAAGTATTGTTTCAGTTGGGAAAACGGCTGTCCTACTTGGAAAATACTTGGTCACCACCAGGTTTGTTGAAGGGCAAGGTAAATACTTAGCAGTCTTAAAATTGCTACAAAGCAACTTTTCCTGAAGGTGTTTACTGTGATGTGGCTAAAACCTAGGGTTTATTCTTGCTATCCTAATGCTCTAAAATACTTTATTTTCTTTTTTTTGTTCTAGTATCTTGCACCAGAAGTCATTAAAAAGCAGCCCTATGACAACACAGTAGACTGGTGGTGCCTTGGTGCAGTTCTCTATGAAATGCTTTATGGGCTGGTATGTACTTAATACGTGGGGGGCAGGAGTTGCTTCCCCCCCTCCTTCCATTTTACATGAAGTAACCCTAGAGTGTTGTTAAAGATGCTAACTTTTGCAAAATATTGAAATACTCCACTTAAATGGATGAACAGTTTGTCTTATATTTAACATGGCACCTGTTTTTCTCTTTTGGATCTTACATTGCCTCTTGATGTCTAAAATTTTGCTTTCCAGTGAACTGCTGGACATCAACTCCAATGAAGACAAGTAGTCATCACTTTGAGGGAATGGGAGGGTAAACTGAATCAACAGTTATAACACCCAGTTAAAAAACCAACAACTTATAAGTGAGATTTTTCCAAATACTGGAATAAATAAAATGAAAAGACTTTTTTTTTTACTTGGGTGTCTCAAAATTTTTCTTAGCTTTTCTACTTCTTGATGCAGCATTAGAACAAAAATCTTACTGCGCTTCTTCTAGTTGTATGTAATCACTCCAGTAACGATGTGTTCTGTTAGTTTTCTTGTGTTTTATCTCCTCCCATAGGACCTTTAATAGGGAGGTAGATCTGTTTTTCCACCCTCATGTTCTTTTCAGGCAAGTTCAGTAGGACCTTTGAAGCTGCGTGGCATCTATGGCTACTTATGGGTGTGAGAACATGTTAGGAGAAGAGGAGGATGGTGGGGAAGTTGTCAAGTGTAAAGATCTGGCAATGGTGATGACTGAATTAGAAGTTAGCAGTACATAAGAAGAGGTAGTTTTCTTCTTCGCTGCTAGCAGTTTGTATTTCTTATAGAATCATTTACTGATCCATACACATGAAACAAAATGTTCCATTGTACCATCCAGAGGGACCTTGACAGGCTTGAGAGGTGGGCCCGTGCAAACCTCATGAAGTTCGACAAGGCCAAGTGCAAGGTCCTGCACATGGGTCAGGGCAATGCCAAGCACAAATACAGGCTGGGTGGGGAATGGATTGAGAGCAGCCCTGCCGAGAAGGACTTGGGGGTATTGGTTGATGAGCTCAGTGTGACCTGGCAGTGTGCGCTTGCAGCCCAGAAAACCAGCTGTATCCTGGGCTGCATTAAAAGAAGTGTGACCAACAGGTAGAGAGATGATTTTTCCCCTCTGCTCCACTCTCATGAGACCCCACCTGGAGTACTGCATCTAGCTCTGGGGCCCCAACATAAGTGGGCTTAGCGACCACGACATGA